ATGAACCAACACCAGGAATATTGGACTGGGAATTGTTCATTAAAAATCAATACTGTAGAATATCAATACGAAATCGTGAAACCAAATGTCGTGATATATCGGCGTATTGATATTTTCTTACACTCCTACCAATTATTATGTAGTATTGATGGCTAGAGTCACTAAAAACTGACAAAATAACAAATGGTTATTCCCGGAAAAAAAAACAGTTCGCCAAAAGTCTCTCCAAAATAAAGGCTTTCCTAATTTAGTTTGCAGTCTTAACTGAACACCGACCATTTTGACCACTTTTATGATACTGCTGGGATATTGTATTCCCTAGGGACAACATTTTTGCTATTTTTTTTTTTGTTTTTTTTTTTTTTTTGGGCTAACACTGAAACATTTTTCAACATTTCAGACGGCGCTTCACTAACGTGTGTCTGGACAACATCTGCGGTTACCTGGTGGAGCTGCAGTCTCTGAGTCCGAACCCGGCTCTTCAGCAGACCATCGGGAACTTCAAGTCTCTGCAGGCCAAGCTGGAGAAACTCCACTGACTCCGATCACGACACTCTTCTTCACTATCATGTTTGGACAGGTGATGATTCTCCGCTGTGGGTTTTTCCATTGATGATTTTGAGTTTGTGGAGTTGAGGATTTTTCTACTTCCCGTCGAAAGGTGTGTCAGGAAGGTGTGCATGGTATCGGTGTCATGAATGAGGAAACACATTTTTTATAACTTATTTAATGAAATTTGTTACAATACAACTTTGAATAGAATGAGTCTGCCAACTGTTGTCATTGTGTGGAAATCCAGTCAAACCGGAACATTCTAAATTTAACTTTTTTTTTTTTTCCCCAAAACACTGACGTTATTTCACGATCTTTGTGTACAAACACAGAGCCACTCATTTTGTTCCTCTTCATCGTCTGCTTCTCTTCCACGCACTTTTCTTTTGAATGTCTAAAGAATAATTATGTATATAATGTGGCCAAGGCCTCGTCTCTTCTGCCAAACTGTGCTGTTTTGTCTGAATGATTTTTGTATTGATTGTCCAACAAGTTTTTAACCTGGTGCAGATCACGGTGCTACACTGAAACCCTTTGACCTGCACTGAGGAAAATTAAAAAAAAAAAAAAGACCTAGCATTTTATAAAGAAATAAAAACTCTCCCTAATTTTGTCTGTGAAGATTTTTTTTCAAACACTACAGAAACAACATGCCGACAGTATGGGTTGGATTATTTTTAGGACTAATCGCAGTTGAAAGTAAAGATTCAGGCAGTGAGTCCGGTAATGGCTTTTGTCTGTGTTTACATAATTATCCCTAATCTGGAAACAGCGTTCCAGGTTCCCAGTTGTCGTTGCCGAAGGGCGTCTTCTCCACTTACTTGTGTGCTGTACTTAACGCTTGTTTATAAGTTTTGCCTCGTGAAAAAAAAAATAAAGCAATTTGTGCCTTATGACATGAGTACTTTCTCTCCTAATTTCACAGTGAGCTGCTTTTACGACTTCATAGTCGGAGCTATTTTTAGTAAGTCCTTCACACGTCTGGATTCTCACCGTGTCTTAACGAAAGTAAAAGTAATAAAAGTGTGAAAAAATGGCTACATGTTTACAGTTAAACAGGTGAATAAAAACAAACGTTTTCACATCAAATGCAAATACATTAAAATATAGATAAATAAACAGGTACTTCTGTGCATGAAAACCAAGGGGGAAAACATGGACTTATTGTTTTTCTATTTATTTCTAACCATGTTGCATGTGGCCCATGATTTTAAATAAAAATATTTTAAAAAGTGCTTGACTGACCTGAAAAGTGTTGAAACCATATGTGGTATTATCGTTAGCTTTTTCTGTTTTATTCTTTATTTACGTTCAGTGAAGCTGTGTTTCACATTCTTAACAAAGAATGCCGTTGCGTTTAGTACTTGTGCACAAAAAAACCCAAAGCTGTTCCACACGTTTACCTCTTACACGAGCACGAAAGCTTTTTAACTCCGTAGAGGAAAATGTAGGGGATGATGCAGGTGTAGGAGGCAGCGATGTAGCTGGCCACCTCCACCACCAAGGAGGAGGTGTGGATGCTGTTGGTGATGCGTAGAAGCAGATGAGTCAGCCAGCACACGAGGAAAACACTGGCTACAGCCACCACGCTCTTGGCCGCCCTCACCTGAGTGCTGGAGCTGGTACTGGCCTTGGCCGTCTCTCTGGGTCTGGAAGGATTCGGTTCAGCTCCAGGTTCATCTTTCTTTGTTTCCACTTTAACGGGGGAGCAGTGAGCGGGTGGTTCTTCATTTGCAGAGGACGACGCAGGAACACCGTTGTAGACGGTCACCGATGGAGAGTCCTTGGCATCTTCTGATTTATCTGGTCCAGAATCTGGTCCAGATGCGGCAGGTGGCCCCTCATTTGTGCTTGCCGTCTGCTTGGTTGGGTCAGCACAATGAGATCTGATACGTCGCTGGTTCAGAAGCAGAGTGACGACAATTTGGACGCTGGCAAATACAATCCCCGCCACAGGAAGGGCGTTGGCCAGGGTCAGGTAGATGATCTCGTACGTTTGCCTCGCTAAGGGGTCCGGAAAAAGATCTATGCAGTCCTCGTTACTGCCGTTCTCACCTTCGACCGTCACAAAGAAGAAATGTGGGACACTGAAAACCACAGCCACCATCCAGCTCCCGGCCAGAAGACAGCACACCAGACGCAGGTTGTCCAGCCTCACAGGGGCCCCACCACGCTTCAGGGAGCCAACCAGCTTCTGATGCCAGAAGACGCTGATGAAGAAAGTGGTGAAGATGCTGCTGGTTTCAGAGAGGTCGGCACAAAACCGGAATATCCCGCAGTAAGTTTCCCCCAGGAACCAGCGACCGGCAAAGTCAGCTATGGTGTCAGGGAGGTCGACCAAGTAGTTGGTGATGAGGTTGGAGACGGCCAGGTTGATGAAGAGCACCTCGTTGGTGCGGAAGCCGGATTTCTTGGCGGGCAGGGAGCTGACAGCCAGCCAGTTGTTTCCCACAATTCCTGCTAGAAACATGAGACCCCTGATAATGGACTCGATCAACTCCTCTGCATCCATTGGTGCCGAGGATCAGACTTCACTCTCAGGTGAAAACTACGATACTGCCTTCGGTCCTTCGTGATTTAAAGAAGGAAAGGAACAAGCCCCCACCAGTTGCAGATGACAATTGTTTTGTTTTTTTTCCAAATTAAACAACAATTACATGTCCCACCGAGATTAGGGGTGAAGACACGTGGACTCAGCAGATTGAGCTGTAGCGTCATTCGTTCTCCACGCAGTATAATTTAATACTCCAGTGGCAACACACACACCTTCACACACACTGGTTTTCTTTCTCATCCTAATGTTCGCTGGTATCTCCACAGTACTGTATTTAGCTGCTCCTGGTAAACCATCCAGTGATGCTAATGCAGTTTCCCTCGTTTGTTTGCTCAACTGTTTACCTAACACAGACAACATTTTTGTCAATAATAATTATATATATATATATAGTTAAAAACCAGTTAAAAACGTTTAGTTTACGGCTAGTTTGGCAAACTTTGAACTATTTTTAGTATATTTTGAAACATATATATATATATATATATATATATATATATTATATAACCATATATATATT